ACGTGATCTCAGCTCACTGCAACCTCCGCCTCCTGGGTTCAAGTGATTCTCCTGCCTCAGCCTCCCGAGTAGCTGGGATTACAGGCGTGTACCATCATGCTCAGCTTATTTTTGTATTTTTAGTAGAGACGGGGTTTCACCATGTTGGTCAGCCTAGTCTCAAACTCCTGACCTCAAGTAATCCGCCCGCCTCCGCCTCCCACAGTGCTAGGATTACAGGCCTGAGCTACCGCACTCAACCAAGTTTATTTACTCTTAATTACTCAAAGCAGGTTAAAATTAGTACTACTTCTGTGAGATGCAACTACAATAAAGACAATGAGTGACAAACTGTTCTTCAAAGAGAGTTTGATGTTTCACTAGTCTTTTCTGGCCTGGGAATATACTTCAAATGGCAATGGTTCTTAGAGGTCCCCAAAATCCTACCATTTTCACAGATCAGGTTAAATATTATTAAAAACAAAAATAGGCCGGGTGCGGTGGCTCACGCCTGTAATCCCAGCAGTTTGGGAGGCTGAGGCGGGCGGGTCATCAGGTCAGGAGTTCGAGACCAGCCTGACCAACATGGTGAAACCCTCTACTCTACTAAAAATACAAAAAAATTAGCCAGGTGTGGTGGCGGGTGCCTGTAATCCCAGCTACTCAGGAGGCTGAGGCAGGAGAATTGCTTGAACCTGGGAGGCAGAGGTTGCAGTAAGCCGAGATTGCGCCACTGTATTCCAGCCTGGGTGACAGAGCGAGACTCCATCTCAAAATAATGATGATAATAATAATCCCTCATAAATACCTAATCTTCTAAGTATTGGACCACGATGCAGGTTTGCATGAACTCAGAAATGAGTGAAATCTTACTGCAGATTAGATTCAGGCTTTTTTTCTTACCTGAATTCTTCTCTGTAGTTATTCTTAATATACTCAGCTAGAGTCCTGCTGTGCTGCAGACAGCTCTTGAGGATGTAAAATTGCTGGTACAACAGAACTGCTTGGCAGGGAGTTAGCAGCTGAAATGAAGCTGAAAGCCCCCTCACCACTTGTTTCACAATACTGGCCACAAAAGTAATCTAGACAAGGAAAATACAGTTACATGTAGGCTGAGTGCCACCCACAAAAGCAACTATTTTAGCTGGAGCTTCAACTACAAATCTAGACTGAAGCCCTCACTACCCTAACACCACTGTTGCAATGTTACTCATCGAAATGTTGTTCAGTGTCAAATAAAAAGTATAGGAGGAAGCTGGGCGTGGTGGCTCTCGCCTGTAATCCTAGCACTTTGGGAGACTGAGGTGGGTGGATCACGAGGTCAGGAGTTCAAGATCAGCCTGACCAACATGGTGAAACCCCATCTGTACTAAAAATACAAAAATTAGCCAGGTGTGGTGGTGCGTGCCTGTAATCCTAGCTACTTGGGAGCCTGAGGCAGGAGGATCACTTGAACCCAGGAGGTAGAGGTTGCAGTGAGCCGAGATCTCGCCACTGCACTCCAGCCTGAACGACAGAATGAGACCCTGTCTCCAAAAACAAAAAAGTCTATAAATTGGACTGAAGTTTTTTTAAAAAAGGCAATCTAAGGCCATAATTCATGTCTCCACATCCTTTTACATCTTCATCCAAACAAATGACAAAGTTATGTCTGCTGCACTCTTTTCATCTTAAGTCAGAGACAACCTAGGTTTTCTCCTTAATAGGTGCTACGCAGGGCTGCACTGCTAAGTGCACTTGGCTTTGGCAGCCTATAAATAGAAATGGAACCCCTGAGGTGCAGGAGAACAGGCTGGCAGATGAAGCCAATGCTGGTTACTGCTGTTTCTTACTGTTCTGTTACTGAGAGGGGGTAAGTGAAAAGAACAAAACCCCTGATAACCATGCTGATTGTTACTCCTTTATCAATTGCTTCTGTCCAATAACTCAATTGTAAGTCACAATCCATAATTTATTATCCTCTTCAGTGAAGTTTATTACCTTTTTTTTTTTTTTTTTTTTTTG